CAAGGTCAGGAGTTCCAAACCAGCCTGAACAAGAGCAAGACCCTCTCTCCACTAAAAATAGAAAGAAATTAATTGGCCAACTAAAAATATATAGAAAAAATTAGGGCGATGCACAATGGCTCACGCGCCGTAATCCTAGCACTTAGAGGCCGAGGCGGGGCGAATTGCTCGAGGTCAGGAGTTCGAGAACCACCGAGAAAGAGCGAGAACCCCATCTCTACTATAAATAGAAAGAAATTAAGTTGGCCAACTAATATTATAAGAAAAATTAGCCGGCATGGTGGCAGCATGGCTTGTAGTCCCAGCTACTTAGGAGGCTGAGGCAGCAGGATTGCTTGAATCCAGGAGTTTGAGGTTGTTGTTAGCTAGGCTGAGGCCACGGCACTCACTCTAGCCTGGGCAACAAAGCGAGACTCTGTCTCAAAAAAAAAGAAAAAATTAGCCGGGCATGGTGGCGCATGCCTGTAGTCCCAGCTACTCAGGAGGCTGAGGCAGAAGGATAACTTGAGCCCAGGAGTTTGAGGTTGCTGTGAGCTAGGCTGACCCCACGGCACTCTAGCCCGGGCAACAGAGTGAGACTCTGTCTCAAAAAAAAAAAAAAAGTTTAAGCTGTGGGAGGGGGGCATGGGCAGTATATGTAACCTTAACACTTGTACCCCCATAATACGCTAAAATAAAGAAGAAGAAAAAAAAGAACCAAGGGGAGCCAGAGGTGTGTGTGCCTGGTCCAAACTAGAAACTCAAGCCAGACAGTCCCTGAATGGTGCAGATCCTAGGATGGCATCTCAGCCCTTCCTTTACTCCCAACTTCCTTCACCCCTCACTAGCCCTGTTATCACCAGCCCACTTCACTTCCACAGCTGACACCCTGCACCATCATCCACCTCCACCTCTTGCTGTGATCAGTACTCAGCATTTGATGAGTGTCAATCATCCATTTAACAAATACTTATTGAGTATCTCTGTGTGCGAGATACTATGCCATGCTGATGCTAAAGATGCCTCCTTGTCCTTGAGAAGCTTCCACTTGCCCAGCACCCATATCAAGGGACCACAAAGATCACCTAAACTTTTGTGTGGGTAACAGATTCCTCTGTGAACTGGTAACAGCTTTCCATACCTTGCTGGAAAAATACATACATGCACAGAATTTTGCATGCAATCGGGGGCAGCACCAATCCTCTGAAGTAAAAAAAAAAAAAAAGTCTAAGCTGTGAGTGCAGAACAGGACACAAGCCCTAGGCACCACCACTCAACAAGCAGAAGAAAATCCAGATCTCAGGCTGAACATTCAGATTTGGAGGTCCTCTGTCTGGAGGAGAGAGCTGAAATGAGGGGAGGGGAGAAGGCCCCCTGGAAACCCCGCCAGAGGGAAAGTAACAGCAGCTGACACTCATTAAATACTTAGCACACTCCAGACCCCATAATTAGCATTTTAACATGCCTGTGTTTATTTATTCCATATAACAACCCTCATGCAGTAAGAACTCTTAACAGCTCCACTTTACAATACAGGAAACTAAAGTTTAGGAAGAGTTAAGTAAGTAAGTGACAGGAGAGAAGACTGAAAGCAGAAGCCTGGTAAGAAATAGTGGAACCAAGGAAAGAGAACAAGATGGCTCAGTCAGGGATGTGGGATAAGAAACAGGGGGAAAAAAGTTGTCCTGAAAGCCCAAGAGATACGGTTAGAAAAGACATCGGTAGACAATGCCAGAGTCCATGGAGAAACCCACCAGGGAAATCTGAAGGTCATGAGATTTGGCCAACAGAAGGTGGTAAGCGACCTTTGACAGAGCTCTTTCACGTGGGTCTAATACCCCTGCCCTGCCCCCCAGACTCCTATTCTGATTCCTCCTGCTCAACCTGTCTGCTTGGGGAGAAGGCCCTGGACTGTGATCCCCACTCGCAACCACCTCCACCCTGGTCCCCAGCCCAGCACGTGCAGAGCCGACTCTAACCAGCCAGTGCACCTCCGGCAGACTGCACCGGCCTCCACGGCAGCCACTCAGTCACAGCACATGGCCTGCAGTCCAACAGAGGACAAACCCATCACCCCGCCCGGAGCACACGCAGGACTGGGAAACAGGTGGGTGCCAATGGCTCAGGAAAGTGGGAGGGAAGAAAAGGTAAGAGGTTTCAGTGTGAGTGAAACAGCCAGGCACTCACCGAGCTTGTTCGTCGATAGCACACAACCTCTTCCAGCTTAACTGGACTTGCCCAGGGCAACTGAAAGGAGTAGCTCTGAAGATCACCTGATTCTGCTTCCCCACCCCCACCCCAGCCATAACTGGAGTGGGATAGATAACTTCCCCAGGAGGAGCGTCCAAGGGTTGTTTCCTCTCCTTGAACTTTGGAATTGGCCACCAAGAACCTGGTGACACTGCCCTGTGTGGAAAGCCACTAAGCTCCTCAGAGAGATGAGTGGCAGAGCACTAGGGTTAACAAAGGCCCATGGGTGCTTATTGCTGCTGGTTCCCCTTCCTGAGGTCTGATGCTTCAGCTCTCCTTGGGTTTCCCCAAGTCTTCTCTATCTCTCAATAATCTGTAAAATTTGGATTAGTGTGAGTAGATTTCTATTCCTGGCATCCAAAGTCTCCTTGGCTAAGATAGAAATCTATAGGAATGAGAGCAAGGGGCATGGGTCGCAGGGTAAGGTTTTGGAAATAACACAGGTAAGTGTCTTGATGTCTGAATCAGAGTGGGGGCGATTCCCTCAAGTTCCCAAGCATGAATCCATTCCATTCTGTTCAAAAGGCATTTATTGAGTGCCTCCTTTGTGCCTGGCATTGTGCTAGGTACTCAGGAGGCAAAGACAAATAAATAGCAGCTGCTCTCATGGAGCTCACAGTTTCAGAGGAATTAAAGACACACAAATGCATTACAATATGGCGTGATAAAAGCAGTAATGGGAGCATGTACAAAGTTGGTGGCAAAGCAGGTGGAAGGGAGAGTCATGGAAAAGTAGACAATGGAGGATTCTGAACTACAGCTTGGAGTCACCCAGTAATGTTGAAGGGTCCTGGAGGATTTTAGCAGTGGTGCTAAAACAAGGAGGGGGTGGGGGTGGAAATATGCTAGACTTTGGGACAGGTGGGCTTGCTGAGGAATGGTGTTGGGACCACCTGGAAGATGTGATGAGGAGTGATGAAAGAGCCAACTTCTTTTTTTCCACAGAGCCCGGAAAATGGGCAATCGGCCTCTAAAGATAATGGAGACAACAGTAACAAAGGCATCTGGGAGAAGGTAGCCGCCCTCATGGAAATGGGCTCTGGCTAGGCTCACAACGGAACACAGGGCTCAGAAGATAATAGTGTTGATTTAATACATTTTTCTTGAATGGAGACTATGTTGTAGGCAGATGGCCCCTGCCTTGCAAAGCAGTCTGGTAGAGAAGACAGATAGTAACCAAATAATCACACAAAAAATATCTTAAAAATACAAATTAGAAAGTGCAATGAAGGAGAGGTACGGAGGCCATACATGAAAATGAGGTCCAAGAAGACTCCCTCAAGAAGTGGCAGTTGGGCTAAGATCCAATAGCAGACCCATTAGGAGATAACCGGTGAAAACAGGAGGGATGAGGGCAGACTATAAATTAATCATGCCTTGGATCTGGGATTCCGACAGATATACCATACTGACGGAGAGAAGGGAGGAGAGGCAAGGATAACAAGAGACAGAGGCAAAAGTTCCAGCAGCCGTGGCAGGAAGATTATGAGAAGAAAGTGGCCACACTTGTAACTGCCTTTATTTCTCTTGATCGCTGATATTTGAAATTTACTGAAATTCATGTTCACTCCAGCAAACAAACTTCCTTCCTTCCTTCATCCATTCATTCATTTCTCCACCCACCCATCCCAAAGACACACATCCAGAGCCCACGGCGAGCCAGGCACTGCGCTAGGAGAGCCCTGGCACAAAGAGTTCACAAATTCCATGTCTGGCATTTTCTTGCTATTGTTTTGACCCCTTGCTTCCCAGGCAAGGAAAGAACACAAAAAAGTAACTGTGCTAGTCAAAATACAGGACCAATGAAACTCTAAAGGAAACCAACGACAGCCTATCTCTCTCTACCCACAAGTGCTGAGGAAACATGGGAAGGAGGAAGGGTGGTAGGATGTCCAAACAGGAACATCGCTGAGCCTGACTCCACCCAGAGGTCATCACCCCTCACTTAAGTGAAACAGACTCTGTATTTGATACGTATGTAAATCTGTAGGCATCTGTGCCACGCGGGAACATATTTCTATAATTTTTGAAATAGAGAGTCCACTCTCTATTTTGAAATAGAGAGTCCATTTCTTTACAATGAGGGCTATCCCCACAGAAAGCAGTTGAAGAGCCATCATTTGGATAAGGAAGAGGTTACAAGACCTGTGACACCCGGGAATCCCACAAACCTTCCTGCAGTGCATCTGGCCCCAGGGACTGTCTTCCCTTCGTTCTGGCCTCTCTGGCCTCGGCCCTCCAGGACCACTCAACTTGGCTGCCGCTGTCATTTCAGATTCACAGATTGCAACTACCTCCGGGGAAGTCTAAAGATTCCTCAAACTGGAGGCTTCAGATGCTCTAAGAGCAAACTAGTTTATGCTTTGACTTCACATGTTAGCAAAACACTTCATTCCAAAAGGTTAACATTAATTACCTCTAACAGGCAGGAGTGTGGATAGTATTTTTTTTTTCATTTTACATCAATGCATTTCCTAAATTTCCTTTAATAATCACAGATTACATTGGTAATAAGGAAAAAAAAACATTTCTTAAGGGTTGCTTAAAATGAGGGTTGCGGTGGCTCACACCTGTAATCCTAGCACTCTGGGAGGCAGAGACAGGAGGATTGCTTGAGGTCAGGAGTTTGAAACCAGCCTGAGCAAGAATGAGACCCCCGTCTCTACAAAAAATACAAAAATTAGCTGGGCACAGTGGTGTGAGCCCATAGTCCCTGCTACTCAGGAGGCTGAAGCAGAAGGATCACTTGAGCCCAGGAGTGTGAGGTTGCAGTGAGCTATGATGACGCCACGGCACTCTATCCAGGGTGATAGAGTGAGACTGTCTCAAAAAAAGAGAGTTGCCTGGCAAGTGAGCCTTCTTCACTTTAGGTAAAAAACAAGCTCTGCTTTTTCCTCTCCTGCCTCTTGCTGCACCCCCTGTCACTGTGAGGCCCCCTCACTGCTGCCCTGCCCTTCCCTGATTCACATAGGACCTAGTCCCTCCCTGCCTCCCCCACTCCTCTGTTCCTCTTTAGAGAAGATGGGAAGCCAGAATGTGGCTTCCTTGCCATCCCAGAGCAAATAGCCCAAGAGAGAAGCTGGCGTTAATAAGGAGAGGCTCTCTTTTTGCACATTATATAAGCCCTATGAAAATAAATAAAAGCATATTCACATTTACCAAACATCTCACAGATGTGGCACCCATGGGATTTCAAAAAACCCTTCATAGACTTTCCTCCCAACCCCACACAACAGCCCTGCGAGGTAGGTCAGTTTCACTCCCCTGCCCAGGTGGGGACTGGAGGAATTTAGCACAGGGATGTGGAGTCCAGTCCAAAGTGAGGCCTCCAGCCCGTCTCTCTCTCTAAGATGCTTGACCTGCAGCCGTGCTGGGCAGAACCGCCTGTGTGACAGCCAGCTTCGACAGGTCAGAACAAACGAGGCCCCAGGACGCGGCAGAGACAGCGCCCGGCTGCTGCGAGCCCGGCTATTTCTGACTTGCCCTAGTTAGGGGCTCCCCTCCTAGGATCCTTTCATAACCACGAGGTTGTTTGACGTTGTGCAATGTGACATCCATAGGACGCTACTGGAAAAAACCTTGGTTTTTCTGTACTTTTTGTGCCTTGATGATAAGGTGAGGCGAAGCTTTAAAACAGCCTGTAGTGGTGGCTTTCTTGATATTACGGGTGCCCACATGTCCTGGCAATGGTTACATCTGCAGCTTTGGGCAAAGAATAGGTTGGAAGACTGTTTCAACGTTTTCCATCAGGACAAGATCATACCGGCACAACTGGGGCCTGGGAGATTGAGACAAAATATCCTGGTAAATGACATTGCAAAAATACCACATTCTAGTAAATTGTATTATACCCTTGGGATATGAAATTACTTAGCAATTATTTCTAACAATATGGGGAAATGCTTGTAGTAAGTAAAATATCAACGAGAAAGTAAGATGTAAAATTTTATTTACCATATAACTTCAACTAGGTTGAAAAACAATAATAGAAAGAATATTACAAAGAAATAACCAAAAATATCAACAGTGGTTGCCTCTGAATAATGACAACACAGATGATATTTTTCTGCTTCCTAAAGCAGAAAGTTCAGTATTTTCCAGATTTTATAAAATGAACATGTATTCCTTTGATATTCAGGGAAAAAATATTTAAAAGTCCTACCATTTTAGAATGTACTGACTATCCTCTTAGAAGAAATTTGTATTATTAAATATTTTAGAGTATCCTAAACCTTCAAGAAAAAGGAATTCATAAGGTACTAACTGCTAACATGATTTCTTGTCTCTCTCTCAGCCTATAGATGAGATGCTAGGACTACATGGTAGAGTGGCATTTGTCACAAAACATACACATTAACACAGCTCTGCACTTATTTTTAAAAATCATTCTTTTCCTCTCTCTCTACACACACACATTGTTGTTTGTTTTCTCTGAACCAGTTGAGAATAGATTGTTTACTCCTCAACACTTCAGTGTGCCTTTCCTAATAAGGACTTTCTCAGTGCAGTTATCAAATTTGAGAAATTTAACACCAATATAATACTTTTAGACTGTCCATGAAATAAAAGATTCCAATTTTCCTGTACCTTTTTTAATACTAGGCTCTGTTTTACCAGTTTGCCAAATTCTACAAAGCTTTCTTTTTTACAACAAATTATCAACTTGCAAGCAGTGTGGGTGGTGAGGGAGGAATTATATAACACTAAGCACATAATATTATTTCTTTGGCTTACTGGGCTGTTTATCTTTAAGCGCGTAACAGTATGATTTTCTTGTATTACTGGGCTACTTGTTTTTAATCAAAACAATTTTTGGAAAACCCTTTACTTCCTGTCATTGTGAATGATGGAGTCTTATGAAAACATCAGACCAAGCAGATTGAACAGGATCTAAAAACATGGATAATGGGGACCGGTCAAACCCTGCCTTCAGCTCACCTTTCAGGATGGGCCAGGGACCTTAACTTCATTCGCAGAATCCTGAGTTTGTACTTGGGGCCTACTATAGATCCTGTAGAGAACATCAAGGATATTGCTGCCACTTTATCCAGATCTTGGTTAAATCTTGCAAGTAGACTCACTTGGTGATATTTCTGAAATGTGGCAGGTTCACTGAAAGGAAGAAATAATATTGAAAAATAGATACAGATTGCTAATAACAGAAAGCAGTTTTGCAGCCTGCAAATCACTGATAAGCAAGTAACCACATGCCCCCAGCCTGCGCTAGCTAATTTTCATGGGCAAAGTCCACTGATCGCAGAGGACTGTGCAAGTGAAGCTACTGACCCCCAAACGATATTAGAGAGAGACGCTGCTGATGACTGCCTACCATACCCCGGACCATGTTCTCATCTCTTGACACATCTCCTCAAGCCCCTGAAACATGCTGCGAGGTAGGTACTATTCTCATTTTACAGACAGGGAAACAGATGCTGATATATACAGCAGTGCAGAGATTCAAACCCAGTTTTGACTGAGTTCAGAGTTATGGACTTTCCCTTAAACTCCATTGATAGATGTATACGTATATTTTCAGCCAAACTAGATGCTACCTGGGTTGTGGTTAAGTATATATTTTTTCAGTCCTCCCTCTCAAGATGAACGTCAAAATAGCTAAATCCAGGCCAGATTCGCCTGTAATCCTAGCACTCTGGGAGGCCGAGGCGGGCAGATTGCTCAAGATCAGGAGTTCGAAACCAGCCTGAGCAAGAGCGAGACCGTCTCTACTAAAAATAGAAAGAAATTAATTGGCCAACTAATATATATAGAAAAAATTAGCCGGGCATGGTGGTGCATGCCTGTAGTCCCAGCTACTCGGGAGGCTGAGGCAGGAGGATCGCTTGAGCCCAGGAGTTTGAGGTTGCTGTGAGCTAGGCTGACGCCATGGCACTCACTCTAGCCTGGGCAACAAAGCGAGACTCTGTCTCAAAAAAAAAAAGAAAAAAAAAAAGCTAAATCCAGGTTCCAATATTTTTTCCCAAGTATGTGGAGATGTTTTCTACAGTTGGAATCCCAAATTAAGCCTATGGTATGTCACTGGGAACATTCAGCGCAGTCATTGTCCCTCTGGGAGCTGGGAGACCTGAGGAGCTGGAGCAGTAGGCTTGCTCTAGACGTGAACCCTTAGTTTGGGGGCAGGGTGGATGTGAGGAGGTGTCTGTCACCCCAGCCCCACTGGAATCATGTGTAAGTCCTGTGGCGTGCACAAGGGCCACAAGTAAAACTAATCTACAAGGTGCCCAGATTTTGGTTTCTCAATACCATCTCCACTAAAAGGAACCAGAGCTTCTCGGAGAAATGGTTGATTCCAGGGCTGGGACAGGCTAAGTGCAGAGTGATCCTGGAACACTCTGTGCATCAGAAAGTAAGGAAGTGTAAGAGTGACGGAAATGTGCAAAAAGACAGAATCACCTCACACCCATGCAGATGGCTACTATCAAAATGACAGAAAATAACACGTGTTGGTGAGGATGTGGAGAAAATGGAACCCTTGCGCCCCATTGGTGGGATTGGAAACAGTACAACAGTGTCTCAAAAAATTAAAAATAGAATTACGATACAATCCAGCAATCCCACTTCTGGATATATATCCAAAAGAATTGAAAGCAGGGCCTCTAAGAGACATGCACACCCATGTTCATAGCAGCACTATTCACAATAGCCAAGAGATGGAAGCAACTCAAGGAAGTGTCCATCCATAGATGAAAAGGTAAATAAAATGTGATATCTGCAAACAATGGAATATTATTCAGCCTTGGAAATGAAAGATATCCTGTCACATGCTACAGAGTGGATGAACCTCGAGGATGTTGTGCTAAGTGAAATAAGCCAGTCACAGAAAAACAAATACTATATGATTCTGCTTATATGAAATATCTAAAGTAGTGAAATTCACAGAAAGAGAAAGTAGAATGGTATTCACTAGGGGCTGGGAGTGGGGAAAGGGGAATTGTTTAATGGGTATACATTTTCAGTTTCACAAGATGAAAAAGTTCTAGTGATCTATTTCACAACAATGTGAATATACTTTAACACTACTGATTGTACACCAAAAAATGATTATCATGGTAAATTGTATGGCTTTGTAGCACAATAAAAAAGAAAAAATTTTTAAAAAGACAGACAAATAACAAGTGTTGACAAGGATGTGGAGAAATTGGAACCCTCGTATATTGCTGGTGGGAATGTGAAATGGTACAACTATAACTTCTTTGGAAAAGAGTCTGGCAGTTCCTCAAAATGTTCAACATGGAGATACAATATTATGATCCAGCAATTTCATTCCTAGGTATATACCCAAAAGAAATGAAAATGCATGTCCACACAAAAACTTGTATACATATTCATAGAGGCATTACTCATAATAGCCAAAACCTGGAAACAACTCAAATGTCCATCAACTGATATGTAAAATGTAGTATATACACACAATGGAATATTTGGCCATAAAAAGGAATTAAGTATTGCTATATGCTACAACCTGAATGAATCTTGGAAACATTATACTAACCAAAAGAAGCCAGACACAAAGACCACATTGTATGATTCCCTTTATATGAGATGTCCAGAAGAGACAAATTCACAGAGAAAGTAGATTAGTCCTTGCCAAGGGTTAGGGGAGTGAGGGGGACAGAAATGAGAAATTACTACTAATGGATATGGGGAGGGGATTGAGATGATAAAATGTTATGGAAGTAAATGTTGGTGATGGTTGTACATTTTGTGAATATACTAAAAATCACTGAACTGTGTACTTTAAAGGGTGAATGTTATGTGAATTATATCTCAATTTTTTAATGTTTAAAAAAGAAATACATGGAGACAGGGAGAGTTGCTAGGCAAATAATCACTTTGACTATGACTCCATCTGTTCCCACAGTCTTCTGAGACCGGATAACTCATGGTGCATGCTCTAATATCATTTCTCTTATCTTAAATTTAAAAATAATACTAAAAATAGGCCGGGCACAGTGGCTCACATCTGTAATCCTAGCACTCTGGGAGGCTGAGGCAGGAGGATTGTTTGAGCTCAGGAGTTCCAGACCAGCCTGAGCAACAGCAAGACCCCATCTTTACTAAAAATAGAAAGAAATTAGCTGGACAACTAAAAATATATAGAAAAAAAAAATTAGCCGGGCATGGTGGTGCATGCCTGTAGTCCCAGCTACTCGGGTGGCTGAGACAGAAGGATTGCTTGAGCCCAGGAATTTGAGGTTGCTGTGAGCGAGGCTAATGCCACAGCACTCTAGCCTCAGCAACAGAGTGAGACTCTGTCTCAAACAATAATTATAATAATACTAAAAATGTTAAAGTTTATCTTGAAAACAAGAGAAGAGTACTAATAATCTCACCATGTAACAGAACAACTATTTCCTTTTTCTATATATTCTCTGATTGGTGGTGACTTCTTCACAAACATTACTAAAATAAGAATGTGTTGGCCAGGTGCAATGGCTCACGCCTGTAATCCTAGCACTCTAGGAGGCCAAGGCAGGAGGATCGCTTGAGCTCAACAGTTTCAGGAAAGACCAGCCTGGGCAAAAGCAAGACCCCATCTCTACTACAAATAGAAAAAATTAGCTGGGTATGGTGGCATGCACCTGTAGTCCCAGTTACTCATGAGGCTGAAGAAGGAGGATCTCTTGAGCCCAGGAATTTGTGGTTGCAGTGAGCTATGATGATGCCACTACATTCTAGCTTGGGTGACAGAGTAATACTCTGTCTCAAAAAAAAAAATAAAAATGAATGTGGTGGATGCCCTTGGGGGTGGGATTGTTGGAGGGATGGGGCAAGGATTTCTACTTTTATGTTGCATTTCCTTTATTGTTTTTTATTAATATGATCTTTGATTGACAAATGATAATTATATGTATTTATGGGGTACTGTGTGATATATGTATAAATGTGGAATGATTAAATCAGCATATTCCTTTATTGTTTAAGTCCTTACAGCAAGCAGGGATAACTTTTGTATTAAATGTTTAGTCAAAGGAAGTGAGGAGGAAGGAAGGGAAGGGAGGAAGGGAGGGAAAGAGAGAGGAATGGAGAAAGGAAGAAAGAAAGGGGGGCAGGAAAGAAGAGAAGGAAAGAAAACTCTTGCACCAATTCCATTTGTAAAGAGCCTGGGAGATCAAAAGACAGGGCAAGGAACTAAGCAGTATGTCTCCTTATATCTTTTTCTTTTTTTTTTTTTTTTTTTTAGAACAATGAAATGCCCTGGCCTAAGAAGAGGAAAGTCAGAATACGTAGGATTTCATTTCTCTGAGCAAAAAGAGGATCAGCAAAGTGTAAACTATTGCAACTCAACTTACTGATTGATTTTGGATTCTGTGATGTTTCCAGCTTTGTCTCTCAATTTGATTGTAATGTCTCCTCTTCTTATGTTCTTGTTCCAAGTTAGAATATCCACAAAGTAATGATACACTGCAAAACAGGGAAAGAACATGGTAAGAGAGAGATACTCCCAACTACTTCCTTCAACGGCCAGTTCCTAAAAACCCAACTTCCCTATAACCGAGTCTCTTTTTCCCTTTATCTCTAGTTTCTCTGCAAAGATCCAGGGCAGAATTTTCTAACGTTCCTTTCTCTTCTCTTTGGTAAAGACTGCATGAGTGACAGCAGGGTTCAGTGCTATCCAGTTGCCATGTTCAGGCCTCACAGTTGAATCGGTGTTCACACCTATCGACTGAAGTCTCTGGCCTGATGCTGCTGAACTGGCCTATTGCCAGTTCACTTCAATGCCTGCCCATTTTAGAATGAACTACTAAGTGGCCATCTGGAGACCCTCCATGGCCGACAAGGGTCTTCCAACAATGGAATATGTAACATGAATTTGGGCCATGTCCACCAACATACCCAACCTCCCTCAACTCTTTCCTGGTCCTGCCAAGCCACCTGCACTCCCCACACTGCCAACTATCTCTTGTTCCTGGGCTTTCCCCCACCTGGACACTCTTACTTTGCCAGCTTTTCAAACCCATCCTTCAGGTTTCAGCTTAA